CGCCGAGTGGTCATTTGGCTCGCCGATTTTTACAGGACCTTTAGTCAAAGTGAGGGTTCAAATGGCGATCTAAATCGAAGGTCGGCGATAAGCCGAACTGCATTTTTCGACACCTTCAACTTTAAAATCTACAACAGTAACACACCATTATTTATAAAAATAAATTAAAGCATCTAAAACCTTGGGTTGCCTCCCAAGAATCGCCTTATTTAATGTCATGGCTCGATGCGAGTCTTTACTCACTCTCCATTATTGGGGTCATCCCTAGTGTCCCTAGGTAACCCCAATAGATCATTTGGGTAGAGATGAGGTACTGCAAAACTCATGAGTGTTCTGATCAGCTAGATCGATCTAGAGTGAGATCCCATCATCGGATTCAACACTTTAATATTCTCCTTCATATCTTCTAACACTCGATCTTGGTCGGTGATCTTCTGGAGAATGATTTGTAGTGTGTCTTCAACACGATTTTTCTCTCTATCTCTAGACTTTTGTCGCTCATGAGGGGGTATGTACCTTCCCTGACTCTTGCACTGGTTTTCCACCTTTGAGATTTTGGTGGCCAAGTCGTTCAGCTGAGTTACCAGTGCAGCTAACTTGAAGTCACCCTCGACTTCTTGGTTCACTTCAGGTAACTTGCCACCACTTCCCTCAGCCATGCTCAGGATTTTTGCATACAACAACTTAGAGAAAGACAAAACTAAAAATAAAATTAGTAAAACTACAGCTATTAAAAACAGAAATTCTACTTAACTAAGAATTCCCAAATAACACCTCTTCCCGATAGAGGCGTCATTTGATGCTTGCGTAATCAAGACACAACTTCTGATGCAAGTGTCTAAAATCGTACAATAATTTAGTAACCCAACCAAGGGTTGGAATCGTTCCCAAGGGAGTGGTTTTAAGCATTAATCGAAAAATAAAATTTAGTTCTAACTAGTCGTGGCTAAAGACATTAATTATTAAAAACATTGTAAATTAAAGGGGGACACAAGAGTGTCAATTAACAATGGGGTTTTTTGTCACAAGTAAGGTAAATACAACAAATTAAACAAGGATTTATAAGTATTGAGAGGGGATCCTTGGGATGTAATGGGAATACAGGTTAAGCTAGATTATTGGGTACATGCTTTGAATAGAAGATTCATAGAATAATTGTGACTAGGCTAAACTTTAAGGGGGATAAGCTCTCTCTCGAGCAAGCCAAAAACACATAAATAAACTTGTATTTGCAACTACAAATTCATTAAATTTATCCACAACTACTAAACGAAATCACAATTAAACTACGATTAAACTATCAGCAAGCAAGACAAAACAATTATCTTAACCCATATTCGCTAAATCACACCCCAAGAATTGGGGTTTTTTAGCCATACATGTATAAGAGATATAAATTTAAATCAAATTAAGCTCGCATTCAACTGGGTATGAAGATTTAAGTCTTGATACATGCCAAAAATTGAAGAATCCAAGAGACCCAAATCCAAATCTTAAAAATGAAACCCTTTGGATCTTGAAGTCTTCAAAACCCTCTCAAACTTAGAGAAAAAATATCAAAAAGTACTATTTTATATGAAAATTATAATAATTGTTCGATACTTAAAACTACAACTCTAACTAGTATTTATAGTTTTCACAGATTTGTGCTGCAGCAGATCACTCGGCGTTGTTAGTCGGAATCGCCGATCAACTCGGCGATTCGCCCTTTGGCGTAGTTCATCGTCGTCTTGCACCAGCCTTCAACATCGTCATGCTCTAGGTCATTGGACGACATGGTACTGCTTCGCGGAACTTCTCGGCGATGCGCCGACTGCTCTGTTTTTCCGCCGACTTGATCCTTTCCTTCAGGGCTCAGCACACCAGAACAAAAGGCGAAATAAGACCCTTCGGCGACTCGCCAAGTGGACTCGGCGATCCTCAGGCCTTCATTTGTTCATTCTTTTTAGCCTTTTCGTTCCTTTTTGCGACGTAGTGTCCATGCTTTCCTTCAAACTTCAAATATCTGAAACTTAAGGGTTTTTATCAGATATTGAGATAAAATAAGCATTTGAGGACACAATTTCTATTAAAATATAGCCCTAAATGAGTCCAATTTGTGTACTCATCAGAACGCAACGAGTTTTCATCAGTTCCAGCCCCAAAATCGAAAGATTTCTCCGTGAATTTCGTCATCAGGTATGTGGGATTTCACTAGTGGATTTCTTTTACCCATTAGGTCACTAGAATTCAGTCTGATTCTTGATTCCTTTATCTTATATAGACCTAGGGTTTTTTGAATGTTAGAAATTGTTGTGAATTAGTTGTTAGAATATTCCGAATCAGATTTTCATGTTGTTGTAACACTGTTGCTTAGTTCCTTGCATGAAATTCAGAACTCTAGTTGTGTTGATTCGTTTAGTTCATGAATTACACTTGCTAGGTCAGTTTATTTTGTATACATATAAAATATTATACATTTTATATCATGTATTTATCATAGAACGTATATGTTCCATATGTATATTAGACATATATATGTGTATGATAATATTTGAATATGTATATAGATGGTTAAATTTGTATATAATATAAATTGTATATGTATATATATATAATGAATATGCGATTTACATATACAAATATATAAATGTGCTTCAACATAGTTATGTATATACTATATACAATAATCAGTCACAATTATGTATATGTACAAATAATAACAAAAAATATGTACAAATTACCAATTTCGATAAGAACTTTTATTCCTTAAATATACAAACCGGACACATTGGTCCTTAACCCTAGAATCGATCTGAAAAGCAATCGAATCATCGACGATAAGAGACCGATTAGGTGCACTCATCATCTGCGACACATGAGTAATAAACCCTAACGATAGAATTCTTTTTCGAAAGAATTTATGGACAAGAACAACAACAATAGTGACAAGAGTAGAAACAATGGCGGCAAAAGTCGAAATACAGTTCCGGTAGAATCATATCGTCCAGATGAAAGCCAAATAGTATACAAACAAAAAAAATGAAAAAACAAAAAGATTGAGGAAAGATTTAGGTAGTTACCTATAAAATCGAAAAATTGTTTAGGAGGGAGATGGGGAATTTCATATTTCAAAATGGAAATGTAAGAGTGTTTTTAGGAGAGAAAAGGGGAATATGAAGAGGAAAGATGAAATTTAGTTTGTATAAAATCATATATAAGACATATAAATATTTTATTGGTTGAGTATACAATGAAACGTGGGTCCCATAATTAATGGCAAAAAAACTGAAACTGTAACCAATTGGTTAATAGGATAATTTTCTAATAACATAGTAATATTTGCCAACTCGTGTAATTTTCCCTCAATTGGTTAATAGGATAGTGACTTAAAAATGTATTTTTTTTAGAGGTCAATTGGGAAACAAGTAAGAAATTGTATTATTTTTTATTGAACCATTTTCATTTACTATCCTGAATATTTTAGTAGCTTTAAAGTAATTATCTTGATAAATAATGCTCTATCACTCTTATAACATGTAAAAAGTTAAAATTAAGTTTGAACCCACATAAAATCACATATACCCGCAACCCGTCCCTCCCCGCCCCGCCCCACATTAGTTTTTAAAAAAACCCACTTCAACCACCCCTCATCCCACCCGCCCCGCACAACCTTAAACCTGCCCGCCACACCCCGCATCCGCCCTGCCCCATTGTCATCCCTAAAGTTAGGGTTGTTCATGGTTATGGTTAAAAACCAAACCAAACCAATCCACAATCCGAACCAAATCGATTTTAAAAACGGGTGTTTGATGTGGTTTGGTTTTAAATTTTGAAAACCGATATTATTTAGCTTAGTTTTGATTTTACTTTTTAAAAAAATGCAAAAATAACCAAACCGAATTAATAAATTATATATATAAATTTTATAATTATTTATATATTATTCATAAGTAAAATATAAATATTTTGTTAAATTTTAACTTTATCATTTTTTTTAAGTCCAACAATTAAATTTTAGTCTAACTATTAAAATCCTAAGTCCAAGTCCATCAAAATCCATTACTTTAGTCTTTACCTACCCTACCCCACATCAGACAATCACATTTTCTCTAAATTGAATTACTTTGTTCGTATAATTATAACTCTAGTATTGTTTAATTAAATCCACAATAGCTTTCCGATGGATTTTTCATGTATTAGGTGTCTATGTCTCTTGAGATGCGTATGCCCCCAACAAATTTATTACTTTCAAATAGAAAAAATAATTAAATAAAAAATGAAGCAAATAGAACCAAATCGACACTAACCAAATCGATAGTTATTTTTTTTGTTTGATTTGATTTGATTTGATTTTAAAATTGTAAAAATTATCTATATTGATTTAATTTTAATTTTTAATCAATAATCAATCCAAATCCAACCAGGAATACCCGCTCTTGATGAAGAAAAACAGTTTGAAAAGAAACCTATGTTTTTGCATAACTTTAGAAACACGGCACAAAAGTTGAATAAAATCCCCGAAAAAGAAAATGAGATGACATATTATATTATTGGAAATCGTGAAGAAATATAATATACATAAATTTTCAGGTGCTGACTTTGTTTATATTCCGCTTTAGCGAAATAAATATTCAAATAAAAATCAAAATCAAAGATTACGTATCATGAACCTTATAATTTTCTTATAATTACTTATTCTTTTGAACCTAATACTAAATCAACTAATAAGGATAGTGTGATAAAATAATCACGTAAATCATTTTTTCTCAATAATTATATCAAGTTCAAATATGACAAGTAAAAAGAACTAAGAGATAGAGTATTATGTTTCATTATTCTTTACGACTTGTCAATTGTAAATTATTTGTTACTATGAATATTTTTTCACCGTGTGCTTTTGAATATCTGACTTTGTAAGCAATTAATAATTCATATACGATACCATTATCCAATATAAATAGACTAGAAATTGTAGATAAATTCAAGTATCATTCTCATCATCACCCTCTTTTATAATCCTTTTTATAGTTAAGATTGATTTGAATAATTAATCTAAATTATATATACCAACAAATTCTTCTGTAGAAGTTGTTTAATCACAAGCAAACATATACATGGAAGGAGTTAATAACAAAATAATTGTGATAGGTCCACAATTTTGTTCTCCTCAACCTCTTCAAATATTCATAAAGAAGAAAGTTTACTTCTTGGGTGGACATGAATATGAAGTTAAAGATGATAATGGCAATATGGTCTTTACTATTAAAAATGTTTTGGGGTTTTTTCGTAGCAAGTTGATCGTCTTTGATGCTGCTAATCTACCAATTCTTACCCTAAAAATCAAGGTAATATAATTAAGTTTTTTCTTATATATATTTCCTCTTTTCTAAAACATGCATCAACTATTGTTGTAAAAATTAAAGTATTGAACAAGTTTAGTGAGTTATGAATTTGGCTTCAAAATAATTGTTACAAGTAAATCAAAATAAGGTAAGTAAGCCTAATTTCGTAAACCAAAAAGAAAGTAATTGTTGTAAAACAAAACAGGGAGGGAACATTTAGAAATTATCTCATGAAATAATTATGGATCAGGGATACTCATTTGAAAATGTTGAAAAATTACTCATTTTTAAAAATAAGTGTTGTTTTAGTTGGTTTCATGACCATTAAGAAAAATAATACTTCCTTCATTTATTTTTACTTGTTGGTGTTTGACTTGGTACAAAATTAAGAAAATAATTATTGATACATGTATTTTATCAAACTATCTCTATTAAATGATGTCTTGGAAAATGATTTAAAAAATAAGTATTTAATGTTGAGTGTAATAATGAAAAAAAATTATTGTCTTCTCTTGATATGTCAAAGGTGACAAGTAAAAAAAAAAAATTATTTTAGAAATAACTGACAAGTAAAAGTAAACAACGATAATAATTTTTAGCAGTAATGCAGACTATATGTCTTTAAAGTTAAAGTTAAGGTGTTGATGAAATTTATTTGGTGCAGCCTTTAACGTGGCATGGTAGATGGCAAACTTTTAAGGGAGATAGCACAGATGAAAAGGACCTCATATTTAGTGCCAAGAATTCTTCAATCTTTCAATTCACCAGAAACTTGGACATTTTCTTAGCCAATAATATATCAGAACAAGTTTGTGATTTTAAAATGAAAAGTAGCTACATGGATTCAAATTGTGACATCTTTGTTGGACAATCATCCACTCTAATTGCTCAGGTAAAAAGCATTTCCTATTTTTTTAATATTTTGCTAGAAAGGGAAATAATTATATGATAATTAAACCAAACGTTATATGTACATAGAAAGGGAAAAAATGACACGTTTAATGATAATTTTAGCTTACTTAATGAAATGCTTTTATGCTTATAAAATATGATCATGACACGTTTAGGATTTAAAAAAAATTATATACTGCTGATATATATTCACCAAAATAATATTTTTTGGTTGATAAATTTAGTACTCAATCAAACACTACCATATTATTAAATGAAACTCAAGAAGTACTAGTTGTTTCGTTATGACAATTTTTGTAGTGTAACCCATGCTTATTGAAAGAATTTAATTTAATATGTACTTCTTCTGTCCAATAACAATTGTCCACTATTGATTTTGCACACTTCTTAAGAAACTATAAATAGAAGAGTAATTTTACTATATTACTCTTTGAATATAAGAAATATAATGTCTTGAAAAATGTAATAGATAAATTATTATAATTAATGATAAGGGTAAATTAGGAACTAAGGGTGTGTTTGGTATGTTTTTCAATTTTCTCATGTTTGGTTGGGTTAAATGTTTTCCAAATCAATTCATTTTCCTCAAATTTAAGGAAAATAACTTCCCTTCAAAACTTAAGGAAAATATTTTCCAAAACTCTCTTCCGACCCCCCACCCACCCATCCTACCAGCCCCCCCCAAAAAAAATAATTTTAAGTTTATTTTTAAAAAATATTTTCAACTTTAAAATTTCATTTTTTCC